GTTTGGTTGTTTAGATGAGTTGTCTGACGGTGTAAATAAAAGTTCGACTCACGTATCACCAGGTTTATTTGATGGATCCGACACGTGTAGTACAGAAGGCACAGTAGGAAAGTCACAAGCACGGCACAGAGATAACGAGAAGACAGTCAGTATATAAAAGTAGTAAGGAATAGGTAGAACTAAGGTAATTTTTATAGGTTTTAGAAAGTGAAAGAATTGTCCACGCGCGTCGTAGCAAAATCTCGGCAAGACTGGTTTGACAGATATGCGCACACGCATCGGTAAGCGATCATCAGTAGCTATTGATAGTTATAACTATATTGGTAATTAGTGATGAGGGCTCTGTCGATAGGATTACAATTATCGACTATCGATGGAATTTTTATCGACCAACTGGTAAGGAAGTGTTATGCATTCCGTACAAAAATGTAAATATATATATAAATGTATGTAGGTGTATGTGTATAGATTTGTACAGTTACCTACACTTGTAACCATACTGCATGAAATAAATAACATTAAGTATCTCATAAGTGAAAACATAATAATGATAAACCAATTCCCTCTCATTACATTCCAACCATATAAAACGAGAAAATAACATAAAATCATTACAATTTCTAATGTTTAATCCAATTCCGAGACTTCCCAACAAAATAGCATCAATTTGCAACATCCAGCATAACTAGACCTCTCGCCACTAACATTTAATTTACAACCAGGGATCCTAACAAAATAGCAATAATTTATAACGACCAGCACAACTAGACCTCTTTCCACCAACATTTACTTCATTACCAGGGATCTTTGTTAGAAAATATGTGACAGTTAGAAATCTTATTTTCCGCGGGCGATTTCAATAATACGTTGATGTTAACGCTACGCTATGATTTGTAAGGAAAGTGGGGTAAGCAGAAAGCTATAAATTTTCATGTGGATTTCCATGTAATGAGCGGTTGAAAGATGTCCAGGAATTGGGTCATGGTCATTGAGTGGAACTGAGGAATTATTAGAGGAATCTAGGTGTTAGGAAAAAGTGAGAATTCGATAGTGAATGCGATAAATAAGTTATGAATTATATATATCTGGGACATTTGTCCCCGTTTTATCGCTACACCGCCTTGAGCAAGCGTGGTGATCAGTGGCGTAAATACAGAGTGTCAAGTCAGCAAAATGCCTCGGGTTCCGAGCTGGGAGCATCCCCTGTTCAGAGGTTTTAATCTTGTTATATAATTGTTTATGTTATCTGTGGCAAGCTGGCCACTTTCAATGGGGAAACATTTTTATGTTATTCTTTTGTTTTTAAAAATATACCTATGAGTGTGTTTCTGACTAGCTTGTTAAATTCACACGATAAATACTTATTGCATTATATATTGAAAATATATAACAAATCTGAACTTCCCTTTTTTATACGGAAGAGATTGCCCATCCAATGAATTTCCCACAGGCATCGAACAATGTCGTTACAACGTGATTTGAGTAAGAAGAGGCCTATGCCCAGCAGTGGGCATTATAGGCTGTTAATGTGAAACTACAATTTAACACTCAAACAGGAACATAAATTCTAATATATAAAATTCTCGTGTCACAGTTTTCATTGCCATACTCCTCCGAAACGGCTCGACCTATCTATGAGAATCGGCCAACATCTATTTTTCATCCCCCTAAATGTTAGGGGTAGTCCACCCCTATTTTTTTTTGACAAAATTTTTAATTTCTATTTTTTTATGATACACCATACAAAAATACATATAATCCTCAATTTCGACCCTTTTACAATCAACCCTTATTTTTTAATAGCCGTTTTACATATTTTTTAATAGCAAAACAAAGTTTGCCGGGTCAGCTAGTACATATTATAAAACTGTACTACCGCGCAACCAGAACCATTCTACTACGATTCTCAAGTCATAATCAAAAATGAACATCATAACTAACGATTTATCTTTTTGTTTGTTACAGTGAACTCACACTACTGGAGGGCATGGCTAACTGCGGGGGCTGGAGTGAGGAGCCCGTCTCTAAGGTAAGGTCTTTTAACCGACGACGACTCTAAAATGTCAACAAGTCACCAACAGAGCAATATAGGTCATTAATACACCAATATATCAACACACCAACACGCAAATACTTAGGTGTTCATAATATTATATTATTATGTGGAGCTCGCTATTTCCTGGAAATATTGGGCTTAAACAACTATACATGATCCTATTGTCTCTTTTGGGTTTTGAATCTTTGATATCAAATCAGAATTTTGAAAACTGACGAAAGGGTCTACACATGCCTCTTTATATTCTGTTAACTAACAGCTAGACTGCAAAGTCAAAGTCAAAATCATTTGTTTCAATTAGGCATAGAAGGAACTTTTGAACGTCAACAAAAAAATTAAAAGTGAAGCTATTTGCACGAGAAGAACGAGTAAAAAACAATTCTCTAGTAACATCGTTTTGTTGGTTCAATTGCGTGAGAACAATGTAACAGCAAAATCCAGTCAAAGGACGATAATCAACTTACCTAAGCGATTTCAAAAACCCCACTACCTACCTCCTCCTCTTGGGAAAAAACAGGCGTTTGACGTCACAATATAAAGTAGCGTAGTCAATCAATCTTTCCTATCTTTACCTGACTAGTAAATCATGCTTTACGGCTAGAAATCTATCTAATTACTACAGATTAATGACTTATCTACTAATCGTTGGTAGCACGTGCTTGCACGCATGTGATTTGACGTGGATGTGTGTAAAGACGCTGGTTAACTGCGGCGCGTTGTAATGGGCACGCGCGATTTATGACGCGTATTAATAGGTCATAATAATATTGATTAGAACACGTTATATTCCCGCGATTTCTTGTCAGAATAGAGCTCGGTTTCTCTGAGCAGAATTCATTAAAAGCAATAGGAGTTACCTGTGTGTTCAGTATTGGACACTTCTCCTATATTACGGGTGTCCATGGACACCTAAGCGGCGATAATAGTATAATACCCTCAGGTGATTTGTTTGCTGGTTTGCCCCCCTGTTCAATAAGATAAATAAGGTGATAGGACTGTTTCCTAACTATTATTAATAGTACCTTTTAATTATTATTCAAGCTCTCCTTCATAAAGGGTAGTAATAAAAGCTCCGACAAGACAAGAAGAATTGTCCTTACTGAAAATATTAAATCTACTGCCTAAAATACTAACTTAGTGATTTTGTCGGAGGTTCAATATTCTATTCAGAAGTTAATTTTTATTATTCGAAGATCCATTTTTATAGTCGGCCACAGATTGCTGGAGATTAATTTGTTTTTCGGAATCATTATTATTTTTCTTCATAAATATAGAGAACAAAATATATAAGATTTGTAATTATGCACGCACTGCCAAATTTTCGCGTGTGTTCATCACATACATACCTCTATTTTTATAGACAGTGAATTTAACGTATCGTCTGAGCGCCGCAATGGAACAGCGTCCTTACAGTCTCACGACAGTTTCGCGTGTTGTTGCGAATATTCATGTTTTGTCACAGACAGGAAAGGTGATTGCTTATGTATGTACACATTAGATTACAGGATACAGTATTAGAATAATACTTTAAGCCAATATGGCAAAATATGTCTGTCACTCTGTCCTGAGAGGGCTAATTGGTAATCTTTAATGTTAGATTAGGAAATAAAATGTAAATTGAATAATATTATAAAATTTTTAACTAAGTACAAGTTACTGCTTCAAAGTTTCTTTCGCGGAGAACCTAACGGGTAACCGGGGCTCCGGCTCGACGTGCAGGAGAAGGAACGGGGTGGTTTTTAGTCAGTAAGAGTCTGACACTCCCTCCCGCCTCACCCAGGCGAGAGCAGTCATTCGATGATTTTTATATGTATAATATTACAAGTGCTGAAAATCAGCGCGAGCAAACTCGTGTCACGGCATTTAAGCTGAGCTCTGGCCTTTTTGCGCCGTCTTTACTATATTGTTTTTTATTTTATTTTTTTGTGTTATTGTACCTTGTGACGGTGTGCAAATAAACGATTTTTCTTCTTTCTTCGTCTTCTTCATTTTCCCCCCTTAAAAAAAACAAAAAAAAAACACATTATAAAGTTATGACGTCACGCCTATTTAATGAAAAAAAGACAGCGGCGTCCTACACATTGTAATACGTCAAATTTTTACCGCATATATTATGGGCGCCATGTTATGTATAGGAGGAGAATCTAATCAATTTCAACAGTATCCTTTGACGTCATTAAGTTTTAAGCCGGAGCCTTACGAGTCCGCAAATAAACGGGTTGCTTTAATTGTTTACTATAAGACTAGGGCGTTTTTACTTATTCCCAAACAAGAGACGATTCCAGTCTCCGCCAATAGCAGGCACTTGGCCCGACCCAAGATATAAACATATTTTAAATTACAATCAAAGCCAATCCTGAGGTCAAACAACATCTCCAGTCGTAATACCAACAGCTGAACATGGCTTTAATCAACTTCATAGCTGGATACCATGCGATCTTTGACTTAAGGGCTTTATTTCACCTAGACACCATGGCAGCGCAACCAGTCGCGCCTTTTGGTGTTCATAAGTTACTAAACTTGACACCAGAGTTCACACACCACACTGCAACAGCATCATAATAAAATTCTAATGCGCCAGCATTAGAATTTTATTTCGAATTTTTTAGTCCGAACTGGTCGCCCCACCAGATTTATGCTCAATCCAGTCGACAACAGGTGAGTAACGCCCTATACAGATGCATAGAATTTTTTTGGTGGCGGCGACTGGTTGCACCACTATGGTGTCCCAGTAAAAATAGCCCTGATACATTCATAAGTGTATTACTGTCTTGAATGTCTAGTACCCTAAATTATATAATTACTACTTTCATCTATACATTTTAGACATCAGTACAGATAAGTTTTTACTGATTTCTTAAAAGGAGATTCTTAATTCGACCCCTAATTATGTAGCAGTTGACTGAACCAGTTTTGATGCTCGCTTACAAATGTATTTCAATCCCTGAGACAAGCAATGTAAGATGTCTTACCTTGAGATGTCATCATCATCATCAACAGCCTATAAATGCCCACTGCTGAGCAAATCCTCTTCTCACATGGAAAAGGTTAGAGCATTAATCACCACGCTTGCTCAATGCGGGTTGGCGATTTCAAACTTATAATTAGAAATGATAAGCCCAGGTTTCCTCACGATGTTTTCCGTCACCGTTTGTCAGTGGTGTCTAAATAATCTTAGAAAGTACATATAACTCGGAAAAAGTCACATTGGTACTTGCGGTTGGTAGTTTTCGAACTCGCACCCTCATGCATGAGAAGCGCGTCTAAACCTCCGGGCCACCACGACTTGAGATGTATCAAGGTATATTCTATTTATATACAAAAGCTAGAAATCATAAATTAGGAACTGATCCTTTGACCAAATTCACAACAATATTCCACCTAAGATTTTGGAGACGCCAAAAAAAACTCGCAAAGTTCAAAACATAAATCTTTCCCAGTTCTTGCTTACAATGTCTAACAGTCATTAATTATTTAACTTTCTTTATTATTTCACGTGTCTTTCTTTCCATGCAATTACCATCTTCTAAATCTAGTAACAATTGTAGTTCACAAACATTAATTTTGTTTGTAGACATGATTCTGTTCGCGTGTCGAAATTAACAAAAACTGGCAGAAAATGAGAGCGTGCGAACGACTTGTAATAAATTAAATAGTAGCAGGGCAGATGGGACAGTTATTGTACATAACATATTAACTATGAGATGTATATAAAATTTGTATGAATATGTTATGACTGTTGTTGTATATTCATTAATTAAGGCAGGCGGTTTTAGTGGCAGTTATTTCGCAACGTTTCCGCTTTCCATCCAGCAATGCGCGATAGATATTTTCCTATTAACATCTATAACATTTTCTAAGGGATTTGTCTTGTGAGTAATTATGTTGAAGTACATAGTTTCTTTAGGCAAATAGCATACACATCTTTTTAAGGAAATTAAATAGCTAGTAGTATAATATTTTTTTGCTTTGAAAATCGACACAATATTTGAACAAAATATGCAGTATAATCACGTAAACTATTTAGAATTAGCACGACTAGTTTCAACCTTCACCGGGACCCATACAATTGCTCTTTAATAATCAATATTAGTAAGCATAACAGCTACCTAAAGTAGACGTCGTAAGCACACATCTGCTGACACCTTCGAAGAAATGAAATGTTATCGTTATGTTTATTTACATAATTATTTATTACATAATAATACATAATTAATGGCGTGACTCATGTTATGGCACGTTCTGTAAAATAGATAGTTTATAGTTTCCGTCTGTATCAGACAGTTTTCATTGGAAAACATTACCTACTTTAATTAATGCAAATAATAAATTTCCTTTAACTTCCGTCCAGTCAGTATAGTTATCTATGCATCGAAAGCATATGTACATACAAAAGTATTTTGCAAAAGTGTGTGAGAACCATGCTTAGGCACGAATGGGCCGGCTCGCTCGGCCGACCGGTGAGATAGACCGGACCACGGTCGAGTAGAAAACTGAAGTGACGTTACCGGAGACCCAATTACTTAATCAACTAATATTATAAATATGTGTTTGCTATAATTCGTTGATCATTTGCTTGTTCTTAAGAGTAGTACCGAATAAACCATACTGCAAAGACGTATGTTAATTTCTTAAGAAGTCCTACAATCAATATTGAACCTTAATCAATTCAACAATATGAATGTTTCATAGTTTCGATGTTTGTTCATCAATCTAGGTAAAACTACTGAACGGATTTTGATCAACTTTGGAATACAGGCAGGGTGTGTGCTGAATTAAGTGATAGGATACATTTTATACCAATCAAATGATCCCATGGGATAAAATAGGAATCATATTCTACGCAGTCGGAGTCGAGGGCAACAGCATCAACATCAGATATTGGAAAATGAATATTGTCTACAGTCATGCACAAAATTGCCACCTCTACCCTACTCAGAGTAGCGTAAAAAGACAGAGGTATCACATTACAT